ACAAATTTTTATCTCACGAATATCTGCAGTATATAAGTAAATATTTATATATACCGTGAAATTGGCAGCGTACCCACGCGTAGAAATGAAATGCCATAAAATATTTTTAGGACCGGTGTTTTCGTAAATTTGTATATTTTACACCTGGCAAAATAACGAGTTTTTTTATTTGTTAATTTTTTTTAGTAAATCATGACTAATCAAAATTATAATTTTAAAATTCATAACTATTATTATAAAAATTGATTTCTATAGTCCTATACAGTTATTGTAATAATTGTCCACGATTTAATGCAATATAACCGTACAGCCGGTACTGAGAACTTCCTGTTTAGTATACCCAAATAATGGCCGAATAGTGTAATTCGACAAAATTGGGTAATCTTCTGCATGGACATAGTACAAAATCCTACACAAGATGGTGCAAACTCTTAAATCAGATAGTGTTAACACTTACACAATATAGTGTTTTACAGTCTAAAAAAAAAAAAAAAATCGATACTAGTGACAAGTGTGGCCACTGCTATAGGTGGGAAGTTAGGAAGGTAGGATATAGTGATGAATTAAATTTATTTCTATACGTAATGATTAATCATTGCTAATGATAAACGATTCTGAGCGGGGTTGATAGTGTTGTTTTGTCAACAATGAGCGTTTTCACAACGATTGTTTTAATAAAATTAAAATAATAAAAACCAATGACAACCTTATTTTTAATCTTTCAATCTTTTTAACCTAGAGAACCAGTATTTTTCATTATCTCGAATATTAATAATATTTTCAAAAACTTACCTTTCTAAAGTAAGAGAGCCGAAATGCAACAAAAAAGATCTCTTGTCATGTTTTGGTTTGAACAAGTTTTCTATTAGAAGTTGTTTACAGACAGAAAATAAATACATATCATATAGTTAGTAAAACCAATAAATCCCTCGCTTCATTTAAATCTAAACATTTTAATTATTTGAGTCGCGTTTTACATTTTGACTTTGATATACTTGAAGATGAATTTTTAATTCGAAATCGGTCGTATAATAAACTTATCATAATACTCCAGGTGATCCATTCATTCATTTTTTTTAATTTTTTTATCCAATATATAAAATTGTTTATTTATGTATTTATTTACTATATTTAATCGTATTATTATTTGTTTTTTGTTTTGTTAATGCATATATAAATTATACCTATCCATCAAACAATTTAAATATATTTAACTTCCAAGTGCATGAAAACATATATATATATATATATACTCATTTGTATGTTGTGTTGTAACATAAAATAGACGTTATCAATCCCGAACTTAAAAAGGCCCACGTAGGAGAGTAAACCGTTTTATCGACAGGTAAAAAAGGTGTGTATAGGAGATCACACCATATTTTAAATTCAACTAAAAAAAAAATGTTAAAGGATAATAGGAGATGGGTTCAGCCACTGTTATAGGTCAGAAGTTAGGAAGATAGTAGAGGAGAGATTTAATCTATATCTGTACACAACATTTAACCATTCTAATAATAACGAAAAAACGATTCTGAGCAGGGTTCGATTGATAGTGTTGTTTTGTCAACAATATATATATATATATTGTCAAATTATATATATATATATATATATGTCAAATTATTATTATGATTAATTTCTTTAATAATATTTGTCTAATATATTGTACATATTTTCCCGTTTTTCTTACGTTGTCCCGTTTTTTCCATGCTTTTGATGGTTTTTCCTTATGTACTGGAAAAACTCTTAGGAAAATCAAAAAATGACCTCCCTAGAGTACCAATTCAGTCATATTTCCTTGCAGAAAAAGTGCTATCATTGTAAATCGGAGCAAAATTGCTGGTAGAAAAGTTGTCCACGAAAAATAAAAAACAAATAAACATCATTGTAAAACCAATATATTTCTCGCTCAACTCTACAAAATCTAAAATGATCAGAGTAGATTACTTGTGGTTCAATTATTAAGAATAAGAAACTTCCCGGGTATTACCTATTTAATTCACAATAATTTATGTTTGACTTACATTATTTGTTTAGAAGCATTTTAACCTACCCGGGAACCGATTGTTTTTAACTCTACCCTTGACATTTCATAATATGTGTCAAGGTAATTTGTATGCATATATTCAAATAGTATACGAACTTTATAATAAGTTTATACCGGAAGCGAACTTATCAGAATATATGAAATTTAAACTTTGGAGAGTAGTGAAGAATATATTAGTTTTACTATGATGTGTGTTTTTTTTTGTCAGACAAATTTTTGAACAGAAAACATGTTCCGATGTCTTTTCTGAAAGGTCTTGTTTGAAAGTTATCTAGTGTGTGCATTAAAGAGGTCATTTATTGATTTTTCAAGGAGAATTCAAAATAATTGAGAAAACCGGAAACAAAATGATAGGTAAAACAACAAATATTTACGGCGCACCACAGCAGTATTGGTATAATCAACAAACTGATTCCATTGTTTTTAATTTTTGCAAATTACGTTTTATACTAGAAATATTCTTTAAATCAAAAAAGCCTGGAAACTTTTTTGATGCATTTTTAATCTAGTAGTGTGTAAATAATTCATTTTTTTTATTTTTCAAGTAATTTTCATCATAATTTGGAAATACCGAAAAAGACAAAAAATTAAAACTGATAAATTTAAGGCGTAACAATTAAATTTTTTTTTTTATCTAAGAACAACTTTTATACTGCGATTTAAAAGCGTAGCACTTTTTCTGAAAGGAAATCTGACTGGATCTACGTCAAAATCTTGTGGCAACACCTTGAACAGCAAAATCTTGAATCGTAAAAACCGGCGAAATCTTGAATAGCAAACATTTAAACAGCAAAACTTTGAATAGAAAAACTTGAAAAATATTTTCGACAAAATCTCAAAGATCTTAGATCATTTTCTAAGGGATAAAAATTAGCTGGTTCAAGATTTTGGCATTCAAATATTTGCCTCAAGATTTGCAACTTTCTACGTTTCAAGATTTTGCCGAAATTTTTTTTAATATTGTGCAGGTTCAAAGTTTTACCGTTCAAAAGTGTTACTGTTAAAGATTTTAACGGTCCCACTATCTGACTGAGGTGCAATCTTAGGGAGCTCATTTTTTTGTTTTTCCAAACAAATAGGAAAAAACGGAAAAAAATGGGAAAATGTACGATATATAGGTATTATGGTAAATAAGTTGGGAAGGTAGAGGGGAATTTTAATGTATATCTTTATGAAACGACTAACCATTACTAGAAAAAAATGATTCTTAGCAGAGTTCAGTTATACATATTTTAAAAATGTAATATTTTCATCAAAATTTGATTTTAAAATTCTTATAAAAAAAAAATACACTAAACCTTTCCTTGTTGACTTATAATAAACCTCCTGTTAAATTGTCAAGCATTTCTGTTTGGTCTAAAATTTTTATCAACAGAGTACCTGACAAAAATTATAAACACCTATGTAAAAAATCTAGCAAAATTAAAATAAATAGTCTATAAATAACTCAAAAATTCAAATACAGCCAGAGCTAATCTAAAATAGTTACATAATAATAGGAATAAAAAAAAAATAAAAAACATGTCTAGGTAAAATAAATAGCTTCTTTTCTACACTCAGAAATACCAAAATAATCATAAGCCAACAATTGAATCCAAATTTTATCTGTAAGTATGTAACTTAAAATATTTAAATAAAAAAAAAAATCTGAATGCATATATTATATGAAAAGGTAGCAGCTCTTACTCAGTTTTTAATAAGACTTAAATATAAATGATTAAAAACTACGTATAATACATTTTAATAACGGTAAGTATGTACCCTTTAGAAAAAAATATTATATCTCAATGATAATAATATAACTAATAATTATTATTTTATAGATCCACATATTTTTATAATAAAACATTTCCTACAATAGTTATTCAAAAATAATGAAGGAAATTACATTTTTGAGCAATTGTGAGAACACAAACATTTCCAAATATGTTATCAGCAAGTATTAAATAACTTACCTTGTACGAGTTTTGTTTTTATATACATAACTAATTTAAGTAAAAAAAATATAATTAAATGACTAAAACAGAGCGAAACACTGTTTCTATTAGGTGAGGGTATGAATGTATCATAGGTTTCTAGCAGGTGGTCTCTATCACATGGACTGCATGATTACATAAATATAATAATTGTGCAACATCATTAGTGGCAGAAAAAAAAAACAAAACGGGTTATACTATAAAGTAAAAAATTATACAATTTAATTTTTCATAGTACTCACGTATTGAGAAACTGGAGAATTTTTTCTTTCAATTGATCTGCACTATATAAATCAGCCAGTATTAATTTAGTTGCATTTTTGCAAGACAGATTTTTTTCTCAGTGATTTTTCATATATGACTTTAAGTCTGTTTACACCATACTGTTTAACAAATAACTTGATAAAAATATACATATGTGAGAAAAAATTAATTTAAAAAAATATTCAAACAAATAATTTGCATACTTTGCTGCCGCTAACAAACAATCTACTTCTTAAATTCTTATTTATACTTTTTCATGATACTTTTTGAATTTCGCCATCTATTTTAGTTTTAAATATGACTTAGGATAAACTATTTTAATCAATGGTTTTACATTACATGTTAAATAACACAATATTTAAATATTATTATGAGATTTCTTTTTTTACATAAATACATTAATAACATAATCACATTTATAATACATAATGATTACATGGATAATATAAAACGTTTATTAATACATAATACCTAACTGGATACAAGTTTTGACCGAAACCATTGCGGATGGATCAATCCCGTACCTATATCATAGTTATAATTGTACGTGTATTATTGTATTATTTTACGCGTTTTGGAATACCCTTGGTTGGTTTTTGACGGTTGTCATAGTATTAAAAGTGTTTATTTTATCGTTATTACGTGAAGATTTATTGTGTGTAGCGATATCGTCCGAAATTTTTTCTTGAGTCATTATTGTGGCTTTATGATTGTCAGATATTCTCCTCAAAGTTGTAACCTACATCGAAAGTTTTTACCCGTGAAGGTCGATTTGCAGGAAAATATTGCTTCACGGACTTCACTATGGCGTAATGTAGTTCCCGATTCGGACGGTAATGCACGATAAATACATGCTTGAACCGTATACCGATCACCGTAATTAGGAGTTCGTCCAACGATCCACCACAGGGTTCCGTAGTAATCGATTTGACGGCTATGTCAGATAAGGTCATAGAATTCAACAGAACGCTATTTAGATCTTTCCTGTTCTTGGCTATGACGGAGGTGCCATCTTCGTATATCGTTCGGTAGTCGCCGAGCTCGTCATAAAACAAGTACGCGTTCTCGGGTTTCGTGGTCAATACAGCGTAATAACGCTTTGCAAATCTGAAGCCTACTTCAGTCGCACTCGTTTTAACATTAATCGAAGTGTTATAGGCGGTTATTTCGTAATTTGCGTCAATATTCACGGTATCAAGAGATGGTTCGGAAATGGTAACGATTTCGGTAGAATTGGTTAAACGTTTTGAAATACTCTTCGGTAAGCATTTAACGGTTGTAATAACAGTAAAAGTTTTATTATTAACGGTATTATGTGTAGGTTTATTGTAATTGGCGATATCATTCGAAACGATTACTTTATTAGTTTCTGCTGGCTTGTGATTGTCAGTATTCTCTGCAAACTGTCACCTGCTACGAAAGTTGTTACCTGCGTAGGTTGGTTTACAAGAAAATATTGCATCACGGACTTTACTATGGCGTAAAGTAGTCCCCTGTTCGAACGGTAATCCGCGGAAAACACATATCTGAACCGTCCACCCATCACCGTAATTAGCAGTTGTTCCACAGATTCTCCTCGTGTTTCCGAATAAACCGAGTGGATGAAAATATTCGATGAGGTCATCAGAATTCTATTTATTTATTTCCAGTTCTTGGCAATGGCGGAAGTTCCATCTTCATATATCATTCGGTAGTCACCGACTTCGTCATAAAACATGAATGCATCCTGTGAATTGGTGCTCAACATAGAATTATAGTGCTGGGCAAATCTGAAACCGACTTCAGCCGCACTCATTGTAAATAACAATTGTTCTCGTTTATTCATATCGCTGAAAACGATTTTACTTTGAAATAGCAGTGTGCATAGATATTTGTAAAAAATATAATACGAAAGTAGAAATATATATATTTAGTTTCGTAATCGTGTTTGTTGTGCGTTTTTGTTGTGTATTTTATTAGGTGGATACTGTAGAAACACGAATGTCGCGTTTTTGGCCATTTACGATAATATTACTAAAACTTTTGTTTCAGATACGTCACATAGTGATATTAATCGCAGTACTAACTGGTCTCAAAAATAGATAAATTCAGGTTTTAAATAATATTACGATATTATGAACACTGTTATTGATTATTACGAATTTATGATCGACTAGACCATGTGGCCAATAAAGCAGAGGGTACTAAGTATAGTACATTATTATTTTACCTATATCCTAACTTAACGAGATTAAAGACTTATAAAAACGTTGTTTGGATTTATAATATAACGTTTGGGTCTTAATATAAATCATTTTAGGCGCCAAAATTTATTTTGTCAGGCTTTTATAAATTTTATCTTGAACGTACCTGTATAATATATACGAACGTTTATACAACAAACGTACCTAAAATATTATTGTGTCGTATAATAATATTCAGCTTTGTGTCATGTTGTACGGACGACTTTATACCCAGTTTTATTTTACGTTGATGTCAATTGTTCCATATTATTTTCTATTTTATTTAACTATACATAAATATTCTATAGTTCTAACATATTCATTAAAATTGTATTTTATTACAAAAATATTCGTTATAATTAATGACATTTATTGCTATTGATTGTACTGACGTAAAATAATAACCATAAGAATCGATACTGGTGCAAATACAACTAAGATAAATGAGTGTATTTCAAATATATAAACATCATTATGAACAATTTACAAAAAAAAAAAAAACTATACATTAATTACTGAAATTATTTTGTGTTTTATTATTATTTTTTTTTTTTTTTTGCATGGTCACAGTAGCTTAACTCTACTTCATGCCTTTATCAAATTAACTATACATTTAAAATATTATACATGTAAGAACGTTCAACGAATACAAGAAAAAAATGCAATCAACATAACCATATCATATGTACATTTAAATGTACACAAAATAAATTTTTATATGTAATATACGGGCCAGATATTTGTCCCACATAGCGTTACCCAGTGGGGTAAGAACTGGACGGAGGGGGGGAGGTAAAGTGTTGTTTTTTCTGCCTGCAAATAACTTTTAAAAAGAAACCTTACTCCGATAGATAGAATATAGCACAATCACCGAACGAATAATTTGTCTTGTTGTTACCTTAGAGAAGTCATTTTTAATTTTCCAAATTTTGCACACACAAGATAAAATTATAACAACCTCCGATATTTATGGTGTGATTTTTGAATTATTTTCACTGATGTGTTTTACTAAAAAGATTTTGAATATCTGGTGGTTCTATAAAAAACAATTACGAATGTACAAATATTTATACATATTGTAATAAAACCTATGGTAAAACTTATTCTTGTTTAAAATATTCAATAAACATCCATCACAGAATAGCATTTGTCATCATTTCTGCGCTCCAACAAGTGGGGCGACGTCGCGCTGGCTTCGATANTTATCTGCCACTCCTCTCGAATATTTCAGAATGGCTGGCATTTCGCTGAATTTCTTTACGATCTCTAAAATTTTTTTGTTACGATCCTTGTAAAATCTCAATTTTCTTCAGACTTGGCTCTCCAGAAATAAAATGATCTATATGATTCATATTATTTCGGTTTCATAATTTCGTTGGTGGTTGTATTAAAAACAAGTGCGAATGTACAAATATTTATACATATTGTAATAAAACCTATGGTAAAACTTATTCTTGGTTTAAATATTCAATAAACTTCCATCACGGAATAGCATTTGTCATCATTTCTGCGCTCCAACAAGTGGGGCGACGTCGCGCTGGCTTCGATAAAGCGAAAAGCTGCCATCGTCAGGAGTTGCGTAGTAGGCTGCGTCATGACGGACGGTTTCATACATATCGTATAACTGTGTAAACTGAAATAACAAGCAAGATTAGCAACAAAGGAAATGGTGTTGGGAACACGGTTTAAATAGACAGGTCGCGCAACGAACCTATAGATTCTGATGCGCAAAGTTTCCATGGCCACTAGAGAGTGGTCATTTTTTAATCGAAATATTTTTTTTTCAAACCACAGCGAGTATCATTAATAGTTATTGATATAACGATATATGTGTTTTGATATTAATAAAAATTTGTCGAGATTAAGATTGACGGTTTAATCTAATTAATCTACTTTTTTAATATTGATTATATTATAATGTTTTAACAAATGCAATTAGCTAATGAGAGCTCCCGATTTCCGATGGGTCTCACACAATTCATGTTATGCTCATATATATGATCTTATGTGTTAATCGTCTATCCGGGTAGGTCATAAAATGTTGTGTTCGATTTATAATCACCGATTAATCTTAACAAATTTGTGGAATGTTGTAACATCGTGTATAAATAAAATATAAAAACAAATCAGGTAGATACAAGTATAATAATAATAATATTATTATGTCATTATTAATCCTTTGGCCTATNAATATAACGTTACAAACATGTTCAGCGTTTGGTTTAATGTTATCGTCAAATATTTTTAATAAATATCACATTAAAAATAAAAACATCCGAAATTGAATTTTCTCAAATTCATAACCTTCCCCCCCCCCGAAAATAAATTTTGGTTACAGCCCCGGCGTTAGGACCAATAGATATTGATGACCGGGGAACCTTCTTACAGGGAGCTCCGCTGAGTAGCGGTTGCGTCGTTATATATTAATATAGGTGTTCTTACGGTGCTTAAAACACAGTCGATATGTGAACCCTTAAGCTTCTGACACGTCAATTCGATCTGAAGCAACTTCTCCGTTAGCTCTCTCAACTTCCATAAAAATGTGTTGAATCTTTTTGTTATGATTACGGTCGTTATGTGTGCCAGTTGTTTTTTGTGTTTCGATACTTATTATTTTGCATATACTGCGGTCCGTTCATTGTCTCTGGATTCGTTTTACTTACTCGGCGTTTAACGTGTAATATTTTATTTAAACGATCCGATTAGGGATGGGCAGAACTAGTTATAACAATCGATTGTCAATCATAGTTTAAAATAAAACTGCCAATTGATTGAATAGTATTAGTTATGATAAGGGTACCTAATGTTATAACAACAATCTCATAATAACATAATAATTTTGATATATGACCAACAATAACTGTTAGTGAAAAGACCAGTACAGTCGATGAGGTCAAAACTTTTAAATCGCCGTGCTTGGATAGTGTTCAATAATAAGTGGTATTTATCGTGAGCATTATTCCATACTTTAAATTTTTTTGGTTTAAATGTTCATAAGTTTATAGCTAGGAATTTAGAATGAATTAAAGATGATAAAATACGAAATGAGAACGTATACAAAACGTTATACAAAATATGAATAATTATAAGATACATCAAAACATTGTTAAATATCTAACTTTTATAAAATTATTATAACTTATTAAAAACAAGATGACCTTACGTCTGAAGTGTATAATTTAACAGGAGTATATTAAACAAGAAAACGGATGAGAGAATGTAACCTGTTACCATATCGATAACACGTAAATATCAAGTCAGAAGATCATACAAGGCATATGTGTATAGTTCACAATGAAGACCAAAAAACATCATACGAGGCAATCCGTTAGACAATTGAAGGATTTATTAAAATACTTAATGCGGATACGGCACAAAATGCGGAAAGTACATTCCAAGTACAACGAATGAGAGATAGTAAACGGACAATAGTGTGTGCAAAATAATAATATAAAAACATTGACTTAAACTAATAATCCATTACCAAAGCTGTAATATAAGTAAATGATTTAATACTAACGTTTTTAAAAGAGGATTCGTTGGTAGGTGTCAATATCGTACGATATAATTACTTGATATATTTATACTGGGTCGTGAATGTTAGTATTGTAAGCATAAATGTCACCTGCAGTGGAATTGTCTATCTGCATCAGGTGGTCTGCTGGGAAATATTGCATCACAGAATTCACTATGACGTAAAAAAGTTCCCGATTCGGTCGGTAATGCGCGATGAAAACATGCTTGAACCGTATACCAGTCACCGTAATTAGCAGGTGTTCCAACAAAACACAGTCGATATGTGAGCTCTTATTGTTCTGCCCGTCGGTTCGATCTGTAGCTACTTTTCCGTTAGCTCTCTCAACTTCCATAAAAATGTGTTGAATCTTTTTGTTATGATTACGGTCGTTATATGCGCCAGTTGTTTTTTGTGTTTCGATACACTTTATTTTGCACATACTGCGGTCCGTTCATTGTCTCTAGATTCGTTGTACTTACTGGGTGTTTAACGTGTCAAATTTTATTTAAACGATCCAATTAGGGATAGGCAGAACTGACTAGTTATAACAATCGATTGTCAATCATAGTTTAAAATAAAACTGTGATTGATTTAATAGTATTAGTTAAAATAAGGGTACCTAATGTTATAACAACAATCTCATAATAACAGAATAATTTTGATATATGACCAACAATAACTGTTAGTGAAAAAAACCAGTAAAGTCGATCAGGTCAAAACTTTTAAAACGCCGAGCGTGGATAATGTTCAATAAAGTGCTATTTATCTTGAGCATTATTTCATACTTTAAATTTTGTTGGTGTTAAAGTTAATAAGTTTATAGCTAGGAATTTAGAATGAATTAGAGATGATAACATATGAAAGGAGAACGTATACAAAACGTTACACAAAATATGAATAATTATAAGATATATCAAAACACTATTAAATATCTAACTTTTATAAAATTATTATAACTTATTAAAAATAAGATGACCTTACATCTGAAGTGTAAAATTTAACAGGAGTATATTAAACAAGAAAACGGAGGAGAAGATGTATCCTGTTACCATATCGATAACACAAAAATAACAGGTCAGAAGATCG